ACAAACCCCAGCAGCACAAAGCCCTGTTCTGGAACAAAAAAAAACAACCACCTTGCTTCCAGAGAATCACAGGAGGTACCAGAACAGTCAAGAGAGAATCTTTACGCTGTTCCAGTCGCATCACCAGTCTGAGCATGACACCTTTTGCGAAGGAAGCCTTGAGTTCACTTGGAGATAAAACAAAGTGCAAGAACCCCACTGTATTTTCCTCAAGTCCCTTTTAAAGGCAGTTCCTAACCAACATGTTTTTGTCTGGGCCAAGCAACAAACTCCCATTATCTGAGAGGACTTCAGTGATACAAGTGGGTACAATTTTGTTAAAATCTAATTTGTATCATGACAAATTAGGTAATTTGCTTAGTTACCCCTCCACCCATGTACTTTCTAGGTACGTTCCAGCACTGTCAGGGGCCTTGAATGTCTTTGTAAAGGGAGTACCGACACCATTACACACAAGAGTTTATCCAAACGATAGGATCAGAGGGACTCTATGTCCTCTACAATCACTATCTTCAAAACACTGAAATCAAGTCATGCTGGATTTTGTAATCTATGTTGTAGACAAAAATATATTTTGAGTTTAAACATGAAAATACAACATTGCAGGAGCTAGGTTTCAGTACACTTAAAGCTGAGGGGTTCGATAAAGCTAGTTAGAAGTGCAGTGTTGATTCACCTGTTCAACAGGCCAAAAAGGACACATGGTTTCTATTACTAAATACCCAAGTGCCACCTTAACATGCACTCTATTAAAAGTACATTCATTTGGCAAATTTTTCAGCCTGACAGAAGTCAGAACTCAGGTGGATTACAGACAGCTAATCTGAAAGCAAAAAACCATTTTGCGAACTATAGAAAGGCATCAGCATTTATAGCATTGAAAATAGCATCATTTGCTCAATAATCCACAATGTACAACTGGGTCCAGGAATACCCTTGCTTCTGTTCCGTGCATAGTGATACAAACCCATGTATTATTCTTAGTTGCTTTATAGGCCATGTTATGATGCTTTCTTGAAGCCTTTTAGAATGGGGTAGATGTTCTCAAATGCCTCATAGATTTCAGAACGCTCTTTTGCTCCTAGGGAGACATTTAGGGAAACAGGTTAAGAATTAACAGTGTTGAGAATAACTGAAGACAACGCAAACCTAACGATAAGATTACAAACCATGAAGAAACACAGGTGTTTAAAAGCAACTTACTATTAATTTAAGGCAGAATTTCTATCATACTTCTGCCACCTCACAAAGAACAATTTCTAGCTTGCTTTGCTTTAAGACCAGACTAGTTTTGTTTAATCTGTGGGACCAAAACAGCAGTTGGTGCTGTTTCTTTACAGGTGCAAAACATTGGCTTTGGAAAAAAAACACAACACCCTGAGAAGAACCATGGTATTATCTGCGTAACAGTAACAGCTCTGCCTGTTGATAAGGTAAGTGGAAAGATAGAAACAAGAAGTGAAGGGCATTTATTTCAATACTGGAAGTTGATCCACAGTTTGAGAACTCCCCTCCTCCAGTTCTGAGGAGCTTTTTTATTTTTAAGGCTTGTTAGGGCACCAGTGATTTCAAAGCTAGCCTTTTCCATGTTACTGCAAGCAAATCTGTAATACCAAGTCTTGTACACTATCCATACTGCAGTAGGCAGGAACATTCCTTGACAGCGACACTACTCTACCATGCTAGTGCAACAAACATTAGCTACAAAAAACTGTGTTTAAAGGAACTAGCAGTTGGATTAGGTAGCACTCAGGATGAACGTGTAAACCTTTCCCTCAGAACACACTTGGACATGACCAATTCATCTGCATTACTACAACTTTTACTTTCAAAAGTAAAGTTACTTTCAAGTTACTTTCTTGGTAAGGGAGAAAAAAAAAAACTTGCAGCTCAGCAAATTCAGTTTTGTCATTACAGTTGGGCCCAGTGTTCACAGACAAGGACTTGCTTCAGTCCCCCTGGGCCTGCTGCACACTTGAGGGTGTCGCAATTAGAGTACCCAAAACCACAAGCATCAGTGGAACGGAACTGGCCAGTATGATTTTACTGGACCTAAGAGGAAGGTAAGGGGGGACACTGGAGGAGGAAGCATATAAGCTTTGTACTGAGCACCCCCTTCTTCAGTTAGCTGAGCTCATTCTGATTTATGATTGTAAGAATCTCTGGCTAAAGGCAGGCGCTTCTCTTTTGTCCTTCAAGTACCTCAATTCAGGTCCTCTGGGAACAAGTACCATTTACCTTTCAATACATCTGAATAAAAGTATTTGAATGAGCTTTACAAAAAAATGCATCAGGAACACGCACTCAGGAATTCAACTTTTTTGACACGGGATCTGAGGTACAGGTATCTGCTGAGCACACACTTACTCAGCAAGGCTTTTGCCTCATGAGTATTTTGCCAAACAGCCTGGAACATGTTCTTAGATCTCCACCCTTTCCTCTAATAACCCCTACTAAATGTTGTCAGTGAAGTGTTTTAAGGAGTTTGCTTCCTGTTCAAACAATTTTAAATTGCTTATTGTGATATTCGTATTTAAGTGACTGGGTAGTTACTAGCATGTCAGCATCCTGTTGGGATTCTGTACATTGGCACATGAAATTATACTTAGAATAAAATAAAGATACTTAAGTTCAATGACAAGGAAATCTGAGACACTCTGTGAAGCAATATGAGATTCTAGTGCAACAATACCAATATTGTCATCTGCAGAAAACACAGATAAGCAGTAGTCGGCATTAAAAAAAAAAAAAGATCGCCGAGTGTCTTTACTGTGGCAAGATATTAGTTTGTCTAATGTTCAATTTAAATGCTTTCTCAGAAGATGTGGCAGCACTTGATTACAGATATACAGAGGGAGACCACTTACCAGTCAGTACAACTTTTCCAGACACAAAGATAAGCAACACTATCCTTGGTTTGACCATCCTATAAATAAGGCCAGGAAATAGTTCAGGTTCGTAGCTGTTTCAAAGCAAGCAGGTAAGATTAGTAAAATGCAAATACTGTTTCAACGTTGTATGCATAAAGTGCTCTTTAATTATACTAACAATAGAGTAATTAAACCCACAGGTTTTAGCTAGCTACCCAGAGAAAGGCAGGTCAGGTTTTAGATCTCTTCTAGAGAAACCTGGTAATCCCAGCTGGAGCTGGTAGGAGTTCTTCATGCTTAAAGACTTCTGAGACACTTCCGAATCTGATTTTCCATAGCATTGAAACCATTATTGTGATCTTCAAACAGTACTCGAATCCTTCTTAGTCTGCAAAGAGCCCTTATCAGGAAGCATCTTGTGCAAGTAAGATGACAGCCAAGTGAATCTTTAATATATATATTTAGTCCCCAAATTAAATGCGAAATATTAAATGCGGTGCTAATAAAAGACAACTGAATTTTGATCTTGTCAGTGCTGAAATCTTCATCCTTTCCCCAGCAATGGCAATAACAGCTCTGAACAAGCCCACCTCGAAGGCACAGCATGCCCATCACTCCACTACAGGTTTACTTTAAACTGATGGCTAATAGACATCCAGACAGGAAGAGCCAAAGTGATATCCCAGAAACGTACCACGTTTTCCGTTCTGTATTTTGCAGCTGGAGTCTGGCTTCATACCTGAAGGTTAGAAACCTTAACCTTGCAGATAGGCATCTGCTTTGACAGGATTTAAGAGGCCCGCTTAGTATTAAAGGTTCACAATGGAGCAAGGGCATAGACCAGGTTCAAGTAGCTTAAGAGCTGCTCCAATTAAACCTGAATTGTTTGATCAAGACTGGTTATTTTCCTATTGACATGGTCTGCAGTGAAGAAAAATACCCGCTAAGGTTTGATATCGCACCTGGCAATAACAGGAGACTAGGAAAATTCTGATCACCAACACTGCTCAGATTAATGAAAGTCTCTGGTGCACGTTGCTGAGATGCAGCAACACTGCAGATTGCGTCAAACAGCAATTGTCACAGTCAAAGAGAGCTTTTACCAAAGAGAATCTCTTCATTAGCCAACTGAGCAAAGAACCCAGGAGCTTCTTGCAGTTCTTCAGCCCTTCATCTTAACCAGATCTAATGTGCGTCCAGTTTACCCCAGAAGTGACTGAACGCTTGCGTAGCATGCTCTGAGCTGCGAGGTTTCTAAAGCTGGCGTTTATGGTGTGCGTGCAGGGAGGAAGCAGCGAACGATACACAGGAGGGCAATTCAGTAGAGCCCTTCACTGCTGAATAGCATCAGTCACAGTTTCAAGCACTGGCAGCTTTACTGCTAGCTGCTCTATGTCATCCTGGCAATTAAGCTGAGGGTCATTTTGGCCTGTGTCCCACTCAGAACGGGGGTTATTGCAGAAGATAAACCTTACTATCTTTATTGTAACACATGGCATCTGTAGCCACTTCATGCTTGCTGAACCAGTGAGCATGTCTTTTGGTGAGCAAAAGACATGCTTGATATTCAGTATCCAGTTAATTACTCTTTCGCCAGGCTTGTACAGCCTCAGAATTTGGGTCTGCGTGCAGCTTACAAAGACACTACTCCAAGTTGCATGGGG